CCTGTAATCCCAGCTACTCAGGAGGCTGAGGCGGGAGAATCACTTGAACCTGGGAGGTGAAGGTTGCAGTGAGCTGAGATTGTGCCACTGCACTCCAGCCTGGGTGACAAAGTGAGACTCTGTCTAAAAAAAAGAAAAGAATATATTTATTATTCATTAAGTAGAAGTGGATCATCATAAATGTCATCATCCTCATCATCCTCACGTTGAGTAGTCTGAGGAGGGGTTGTCTTACGGTATCAGGGATGGCAGAGGCAGAAGAAAATTAGCTTATAAATAGACCCACAAAGATCAAACCCTCGTTGTTCAAAGGTCAACTGTATAAGCTCATAACTTGAATTGCATATACTTTTACCTCTCCACCCCCACATGCATTTTATATTATTGATGTCACAATTTACATCTTTGTGTGTGTCTATCCATTAACAACTTATTGTAGCTACAGCTGGTTTTGATACTTTTGTCTTTTAACTTTTATACTAGAGTTAAAAGTGACAATCATTAAATATTAGAGAATTCTGAATTTGACCATATACTTACCTTTATCAATCAATTTTATACCTTCATATGTTTTTATGTTGTTAATTAATATCTTTTTGTTTCAAATTGAAGAACCCCTGTTAGCCCTTCTTGTAAAGACAGGTCTACTGGTGATGAACTCCCTTAGCTTTTGTTTGTGTTGGGAAGTTTTGATCTCCCCTTCATCACTGAGGGACACCTTTGCCAGGATAGTATTCTTGGTAGGCAGGGGTTTCTTTTGCTTTTAGCACTTTAAATATATCCCACTCTTTCCAGGCCTTCAAGGTTTCTGCTGAGAAATCCGCTGATAGCCTTATGCAGGGATAAGGGGGGTTTTTTTGAAAAGAGTTGCTTTTCTCTTGCTGCTTTCAAAATTATCTCTAGCTTTGACTTTTGGCAGTTTGATTATAATGTGTCTTGGTGAAGACTTCTTTATGCTCAACGTATTTGGGGTTCTTTGGGCTTCATGGATCTGGATGTTCATTTTCCTCTCTAGTTTTGGGAAGTTTCCTGTCATTATTTTTTTTTATTGAGGTTTTTGCCCCTTTGCCTTTCTCTGCTTCATCTGGGACTCCCAGAATACGTATATTGTTTTGCTTGATGATGTTCCCAATTCCCATAGGCTTTCTTCACTCTTTTTCATTCTTTTTATCTTTTTGTTACTCTGCCTGGATAATTTCAAATGATCTATGTTTGAGTTC